TATATTTGAGGCTGCAGCGAAAATCCTTGGAATTCTCACCCGCTCATAAAGAGAAATTCATAACTCCCAAACCAACTGGAGCAGCACGCTCATCTTTCCACACAGTGTACACACTATATACAGCCACACATGCACCGAAGTTCACTCGAATTCCAGGATCGACCGATGTCTTACAATTGTTTATATTTGAGAAGACATCGAAAGTTCTCACAAGTTAACATAACAAATCACAACTCCCAAATACGCACAAGTAGAAAGCTGACAGTTTCACACAGTATAAACACTAAATACAGTCATCTGCAATGCCACTTTGCCTTAAATCTGAGTCTCGGGTGATCTTTTACAGTTGTTTAAATGTGAGAGCACGGCAAGAGTTCTTACACACTCAGATGAAAAAAATCGTAACTTCCAATGCATCTCACAAACCAGCTTCAAATTTTTGCACAGAATAAACACTAAACGCAGTAACGTCTAAACCCAGTTAGACCCAAATGTGAACACTGTCGTACTTTTTACAAAGCTTTATATTTGAAGCTGCAGCAAAAAAACCGTAAAATCCTTACCCGCGCACAAAGAAAATCATAACTCGAAAACGCGCTCACATAATCAGTTCCGATTTTCATATGATATAAACCACACATAGAGTCACATTCCGAGCCAAATTTGAGTCTAATTTGAGTATTGACTGATTTTTCACAGTCGGTTATATTTGAGGCTGCAGCGAAAATCCTTGGAATTCTCCCTCGCTCATAAAGAGAAATCCATAACTCCCAAACGAACTCGAGCAGCACACTCAACTTTCAGCACAGTGTACACACTATATACAGCCACACTTGCACCGAAGTTCACTCGAATTCCAGGATCGGCCGATGTTTTACAATTGTTTATATTTGAGGCGGCATGGAAAATTCTCACAAGTTAACAAAACAAATCACAACTCCTAAATACCCACTAGTAGAAAGCTGCCGTTTTCACACAGTGTAAACACTAAACACAATCACCTGCAATGCCACTTTGCCTTAAATCTGAGTCTCGAGTGATCTTTTACAGTCGTTTAAATGTGAGAGCACTGCAATAATTCTTACACGCTCAGAAGAAAAAAATCGAAATTTCCAATGCAGCTCACGAACCAGCTTCAAATTTTTGCACAGAATAAACACTAAACGCAGTAACGTCTAAACCCAGTTAGACCCAAATGTGAACACTGTCGTACTTTTTACAAAGCTTTATATTTGAAGCTGCAGCAAAAAAA